TGACTTGAAATTTTCACTGACGATACATTAATTAATGCAATTTATATATAGTGTTGCGTGTGCAATGAAATTATAAATTCAATAATTTACAATTCCCTCTGTTGTAATTTATTAATTTTCGCGTTTCTTATATTATGTATAATAATTTGCTGCTGCTAATTTTTTCAAAGTCCTGTGGATTAAGTTGCGTGGAAATTAATGATTTGAAGTTTCCACTGGCAGGAATTTCGTTACAGGCATAGAATATATCGACATAGGGATTTTTGAGATTTAATGTTTTCGCTTCATGAAAACGCATATTCATCCTACATTCGGGGCAGCTAATTGAAATAAATTACAATTTTCCGGTGAGTTTTCGGCAAATAAACGGAAAGAGGCGGAACGAAAGGACGAAATATGAATATCTAGGCTATATTCCAAAACGAATTGCTTTCGAGGAAAATTTTATTTAAAAACTGTAATCTATATAGTTTTCGTATATATACTATATATTTTAGTAGAATTTTCCTCGGAAGCATCGTTTTGGAATGCCACCCCAGTATTGAAATTTGTACTTGTAATTTTTTTTTAGAAACAGTCAGAGAAAGACAAAAATATTCTCCGCGGTGTTAATTCTTTTTACTCCAGCTGGACCATCGGCGCTCGCGACGCGCGTGCGCGAAACTTCGTACCCGGCCAGGCATCTACTTGCATCGTGCTGGCTAGCAACAACGCCAGCCAATCCGGACGAAGCACCGAAAGATTCAAACTTGAACGTGTGTGCAACGTACAGACGTCCAATCCGTCGTTGGCACCGCTCGCGGAACGCCGAGACGTTCGCTGACATTCCCGCCTTTTCGAAGGGTTAATTGTGTGTCGAGTGCAAAGGATTTTAAGGAGATAAAAGCTGAGGATAAGAGATATCGCTGGAAGAAGCGAGGAGAAGTGGCGCATTTGAGTTCTCTCTCGACGGAGGGCTGTTTGCGCGAGACGAGGGACGTAAACAACAAACGTAAGTTACACGCAAGTACGCCGTACTAGCCCTTTATTTTGATCCTGCAACGACAATGTTGAATGATGTTGAATCTGCAAGATTTAGCAATTTCTCGTAAATGATGACCAATAGAACAGAGAGCTGTTCTCTCAGATATTTCTCGTGTTTTTAAAACCATGCTATTTCTATTTATTTTTATCTGTTTTAAGGGACGAACAAGTTGTATTATTACATGATTTTTAATTTTGTTACCTTCCTGGATATCTTTTCGTACAGGGAACTTCTCAGATTCAACATTGATGTCGAGGAACAATCTACTAGTCTCTCGGCTAGACGAAGAAATGACAAATTCCTTTTCATTTCTTTTACAAGATCTATTCTTATATTCATAACAATTTAGAACTTTGTGTATCTAAACAATAAGATTGAAACGTGTCTCAAAATAATTGTCAAGTTCTTGTGTGTTTTGATTTACTATGTAATTTTAAATTAATAAATTAAAGAATATAGATTTGCAATATTGTAAGTCAAAACTAAATACAAATGAGACTAATAAGTCGGACCATACTATTTATCTTTACCGGTATAAAGATTGCTTCTTAGATTTATAATAATTTAAAACTTTATGTTAACTATAAGCTGTTTGCAGGAAAAAGCGAAGAGAAGTAGTGCATTTGAGTTCTCTCTCAACAGAGCTGTTTGTGTGGGACGAGAGACGACAGTAAATAACAAACGTAAGTTACACACAAGTACGTTGTACTAGCCCTTTATTTTGATCCTGCAACGACGATGTTGAATCTGCAAGATCTAGCAATTTCTCCTAAATGATGACCAATAGAATAGAGAGCTGTTCTCTCAGTCGCAGATATTTCTCGCGTTTTTAAAACAATGCTATTTTTATTTGGTTGTTTTCAAGGGACGAGCAAGCAGTATTTTCGAATTATTACATGACATTTTTAATTTTGTTATCTTCCTCGATATCTTTTCGTGCAGGGAACTTTTCAGATTCAACATTTACGTCGAGGAACAATCTACTAGTCTCTCGGCTAGATGAAGAAATGACAAATTCCTTTCCATTTCTTTTACAAGATCTATTCTTATATTTATAACAATTTAAAACTTTTGTGTATCTAAACAAGATTGAAACGTGTCTCAAAATAATTGTCAAGTTCTTGTTTGTTTTGATTTACTATGTAATTTTAAATTAATAAATTAAAGAATATAGATTCGCAATATTGTAAGTCAAAGCTAAATACAAATGAGACTAATAAGTCGGACCATACTATTTATCTTTACCGGTATAAAGATTGCTTTTTAGATTTATAATAATTTAAAACTTTATGTTAACTATAAGGTGTTTGCAGGAAGAAGTGAAGAGAAGTGCCACATTTGAATTCTCTTTCGACGGAGAGCTGTTTGCGTGGGACGATAGGCGTAAATAACAAACGTAAGTTACATGCAAGTATGTCGTACTAGCTGGTATTAACCCTTTATTTTGATCCTGCTACGACAATGTTGAATTTGCAAGAACTAATTACTAATTTTTCTGAGTGATGACTAATAGAATAGATGCCTTTTTTTTTTAAGTACAAAAATCACTTCTTAAATTCATAACAATTTGAAACTTTATGTATATAAACAATAAAATTGAAACAAAGTCTCAAAATTATTGTCAAGTTCTTGTGTGGTTTGAAATTAACGAATTAAAAGATATAGATCTTAGAACATATATTAATATATTTTACTTATATATTGTATATCTTTTTTTTTATTTATGTAGTATATGTTTTAAGATATAGATTCACAAGATTATAAATTAGAGATAAATGCAAACGAGACCAATGAGCGAGGCTATTTGGCTGTATTATACATCTTGAAAAGTATAGAGATTGTTTCTTAAATTTATAACATGTTAAAACTTTATGTATGTACTATGTAAACGATAAAATTGAAACGAGTCTCAAAATAATTGTCAAGTTCTTGTGTGGTTCGAAATTTATGAATTAAAGGATATATAGATTCACAAGATTATAAATTAGAGATAAATACAAACGAGATTAATAAACCAGGCTATTTGGCTTGTTATACTATTTATCTTTACAAGTAAACATTGCTTCTTAGATTTTTAATAATTTAAAACTTTATGTAAACTATAAGATTGAAACGTGCCTCAAAATAACTACTGTCCAGTTCTTGTGTGTTTTGATATACTATATATATAAATTAACAAATTAAAGCGTATAGACTCACCAGATTACAATTAAAAATTAAATACAAATGGGACTAATGAGCCACGTTAGGTGACAACTTATTATAATATTAAGAAGCAAACGTGACATAACTGATTGCAATTGGAAGCGTTTGATCTGCAGGGCAGTCATCTTGTCTAACGATAGAATTATTTATACCACCTAGAGATGTAAATAGAAAAAAAACAAATTTGTATTTTTTCAATGAAATAAAACACTTTTCTAATGTTTTTTTTTTCTATTAGAAAAAAATACGTTTTTTTTTTACATCTCTAAATTACCACCCCATTTTGAAGAACCATCCTGTAGGTCAAAACTAGTTATATTGTGTTTCTTACAATAATATTATAATAAACATTGTCACTTGTTAATCTTGGTCATTAGTCCTATTTTATAATTTATTTTTTATCTACATTATGTTTTTCCAACACTAACATATCCGATCTCGCGTTTACTTGAATTGTTATGTTAATCGTCGTAGCTTGAGGATGATTAAAATGCAAAGATAATTATAATTAATTTAATTTATTTATTTATATTATTTAATTAGAAAAAAAAGGTAGAAGTTGTACGCTTAAATAAAATACGATTTCTGTTGTTATTTTTAATTCTGAATAATGCTTTTTATCGCCGAGATATGACTTGTAAAGGTTTGAAATTTTTATGTTGCAGACTATCATTAGCCTACTGTTGGATGGCATTCGTGTTTTGACGTAGCACAGCGGGATTCTTTCTCTCTTTATGACTTGATACCAGTATATTTCGCGTGTACCTTATACATTCTGCTTCGACTGACACGATGGGGGATTATCTTGATCTGCATGCGCCACAATGGATAGACTTCACCGAGACCTGCAGTCCGTTGCGGTTGCCGGATTTCTTCGACAAGACGCACGTGGTGCACGAGCGTGCGGAGAACTTCTGCGACTCCACGTCCGAGAACGCGGAGAATATTCAGCCCGCGGCCAAGACGTGCGTCGTGTGCCCCGCACAGGCGGACTTGGACGTTATAAAGAGCACCCCCATCAAGGTGGTGTCCCCGAAAAATAACAAGGAGGTGATCGCGGAGACCACTTACGACCAAGTGTTCAGCGACGCGGTGAGGAAACTGGAGCTCTGTAGGAAACCGCTTAAGGCTCGAGAAGCGATGAACAAGACCGCCCAGGAGTCGAAGGATGTCTTCAAGACGCCGAACACGTCGAAAATCGCGAAATCGACCAGATCCATCGGCAGTCGCAGTGCGCCAAATAAATACATCCCGTCTGGCCAGGATTCCGCACCGAGATCCGTGAAAGTTAGCAAGAGCATCCGCATGCCGGGTAACGACACGTCTGCAAACGCGAAGGAAACGCCGGTCGGTCAGGACGCTCCGTTCAAGCAGAATGAAAATTGCTCGGAGAACGACGCTTCCAAGAAATCGAACGATCCAGCGGACACCAATGATGAGGAAGAGAAGCGAGGCGACGAGGAGGAAGACAACAAGAAGCGTGAAAAGGACATTGAGAAGTGTAACGAGATAGACAGCAAGGAACATGAGGAGAGGGAAGATTACAAGGAGCCGCAAGATAAGTCGGAGGAATCGACGGACGGCAATAGAGAGGCCAAGGAAGAGGACAGTCAGGACGACGTGGACGCCGCGGTCGAGAGGGGCGGTCGAGCGCAGCTCTCCTCGAGCAAGCACTCGGTTCTCACCTGGCACAACCACAGGCGAAGCTTGCAGAAGCGCAGAGTGTCGCAGGCCAACAAGAAGTACGTCAGCCTAGCGGAGGCGGTGTCGCGCTTCCAGACCGAAACGCCCGAGCGTTTCCGCACCAGGAGCAACAAGGCGGGTAACGCGAGCATGCCGCTCAACGTGTCCAGGTTGACGCAGAGTCGTCTGAAGCCGACCGTGCCGGTCTCGCCGGCGCTCATATCGAAGAACCGAGCGCGTCCCGTCACCGTGCTGAGCCGAGAGGAACGCGAGAAACTGGAGGTGGAGGAGATGAGGAAGTATCAGATAAAGGCCAATCCGATACCGCCCTGCGTGCTGCGAGGATCACGATTGACGAGGAGCAACGTCAGCCTGGCGAGGAAGCCAACGGCGGCGGCATCTTCCGCAACGGAATCCGGAGGCGAGAAGGCTTGCGCCACCGCGAAGAGCTCGCTCCAGCCTAGAAGCCCGCCGCCGTCGCATCGCGACAGAGTGTCGTCGTCCGCCCCGAGGAACGTGGTCACGAAGGTGGTGGTGACCGATCCCGCGGGTATCATCGTGGAACGCGAGGAGATAACGTTCTTCGGCGTGCCGAAGGACACCGGCGCGTCGAAGAACGTGACGCGCATCGTGCCGTTTAGCTTCGAGGCGCGCAACAGGGATCTGCGGTTGAGGAAGGAGCAGCGGCTGAAGAGTCTGCAGGAGGCGGCCGGCACGTCGAAGGCGGAGTTCCACGCCAGGCCGGTGCCGAATTTCTCGAAGCCGCCGACACCGGGCGGCAAGCAGCAGCAGCAGCAGCAGGCGACGAAGAAACCGGTCCAACCGTGCCCATTCAGCTTCGACGATAACGTGAAGAGGCTGTTCGAGCGGAAGGAGCAGCTGGTGAAGCAGGTGCTGGAGGAGAATAAGCGGGCGCGCGTGTTCCGCGCGAATCCCGCGCCGATCTTCAAACCCGTGATGGTCCGCGGTAGGTCCAAGGAGCATCTCCTGGCGAAGGATCACAAGAATACGAATGTCGCGAACGAACGGCGGACGGAGGACGATCAGGAGAACAAGGAGCCGAATGTCAATTCTCTCAAGACGGAGAGGAAGAGCGTGATGCAGAAGGCGAAGAGCGCCGTTGGCTGCGCCCTCGACAAACAGAAAGCGCCGCCGTTGAAGGCCTATCCGTTGGAATTGAACACCGACAAACGTGCGAAGGAGCGGCAAGAGTTCGACGAGAAGCTGAGGCGCAAGGAAATGGAGCAGGAGGCGAAGCGCCAGGAGGCGGAGAGGAGGAGAATCGAGTCCGAGAGAGCGATGCAGACGAGACTGCGCAAGCAGGCGGAGACCAAGGCCAGGCCGATGCCGGTGTACAAACCGCCGGTCATTGTGAAAGCGACGAAACAGCTGACCGAGCCGCAGAGTCCCGCGTTCGCGAGCAAGCTCAGATCGAAGCGAGCATGAACGGCAGCACGCGTTGATTACAGAGTCTTTAATTCACAACATTAACTGCGTTGAACACAGTATGTCTGTCACGAGTATGAATTTAACAAAAAAAAAAAAATATAGTCTAGATTCATTATTCTTAAAGAGAGCGTCTGGTTTAGGACGCTGAGAAATAGGTGATTTTCGCGAATTTTTTTAACAAAGAAAAGTAAAGTCGATCTTTCCATAACTGTACCGATACTTTACTGGATACTTATATTATACAAAAGAATTTTTTAATGTAAAAAACTTGAGAAACGTCATGGCAATCAAGTGATTAAAACGCCTCGCTACTGGAGTTACAAATTGGCGGGCGAAATAGAAAAAGAACTATTTGACGTATCGACTTCAAAGCTCTTTATTTAAATTATTGTCAACCATCCTAAATGAACTAAGAAAAAGAATTTTTACTTTGTGCAATAAAAATTGTTTAAATTAACTTTTTTAAAGGTGTTCTTAGTTCATCGACTATACAATTATATTTGTGTTGCGAATTAAAAATGTTTTCGGTTTTTTTGTTTCGGACAGAAATTACCGGCTCTATTTCGCCTGCCATTTTGTAACTCCAGTAGCGAGGCGTTTTAATCACTTATTTGCCATGACGTTTTCAATTTTTTAAATTAAAAATTTTTTTTGTATAATATAAGTATCCAGTAAAATATCCGTACAGTTGTGGAAAGATCAAGTTTACTTTTCTTTGTTAAAAAATTTCGCGAAAATCACCTATTTTTCAGCATCCTGAACCAGACGCCCCCCTTAATGGTGGTAAATATTTCGCTTTTCCATCGCGCGATGATGGCTTTTATATCTTAAAATAGGAAAATGATACTGGACCACCCGTTCTCTGTTCGCAGGATATTATTTTATTTCCTCTCGACTCAAACCGATCCAGGCTTCAAACTCGTATAATAATCTTTAAAAAATAATCAACAGTTCTCTCTTTATAATTTAATCATTGTACACTATAATCATTCGTTAATATCGGCTTGTATACATATATACATTCATACATATATATGGTTTCATTACAGTTGCACTTGAATATGCCTCCAACTACAACAGATGGTGTATATCCATCTCGTACTGTACAGAATTACAATATCGTATTTCGAATGATGGGAATATCTTTTAGTTCCTGACAATCTTCTCTAACTGTGTCATCCAATTGTCTTTTTTTTTTATGCTGTTGATTTTAATATTTCAAAAAATACCACTTTAATCATCTCGCCAATAAAATATACAACTGCCCCTCTATTTATCGTCTATGTAAAAAATTGTCTTGTTACGGTTGACGATGTGACTATTGTATTGAAAATTGATATTTTTAATATTCGCCAATCCGCAATATAAATTCTTCTAAATATTATCCAGTGTTTTTCGTCCAAAGTTGTACATAACGCACGAAAAATTTGTTAAACGTATACAATGCTGATCGATAAAACGCAATCAAATGGCAATTACTCAATACCTCCGTTACGCGCATGATGATTATTTTAATCATCGTGCCCTACTTTTAAATAATATCGCAAGCTTATATGCGATCGTAACGCAAGAGTGATTTCGAATTGCATTTACAAATATAATAATTTTGCAAGTGAACTTGGCAACGTGTGTATGTACTTGGGATCATCGCGTACGATTAAAGATTTACAGGCATTGCGTTGCTAGAGAAAATCTTGTATACATAAATAAACATTCCAATTTACAGGAGACACTCTGTGCATTACGTACGCTAGATTTGACGATCAGTTTGTGATCCTAGCACGACCGTTAGAAGAATTGCCGTCACGTTCGGCTCGTCACTTTTTTTTTTTAATGATAACCGCAACGCACATGAATGACACTATCGCGCGACGCGATTTCACTTTTAGCCGAGGCTGTGTGAACTCCTCTTGAAAAAATACATAATCCAGTTTATGCCCGCGTTCTCTGTACGTTCTTTCGTTCGCGCACTATACCAACTGCTCCGAACTCGTGGCACTGAGATCGAGCAAACGCCACGCGGCCTTGGGATTGAGTTCCGTTCGGTCGCGGCACAGCACCCAGACGTAATTGACGCGCATCACTTTCTCGGGGTCTCCCTCGATCACCTTGTTCTTCGAATTTCTCACGCACATGATTTGCTGAGATTGAAAGCTAATTATTAAAACCGGTCCCTGTTCCATCATCTTGCCCATCACCAGATCGACATTATCGATATCTGCAATCCGGTATTCGCACCTTAATTTTTACAATTCTCAAGTATCGTAAGACGGGGGTTGCCACGAATTCTCGAATTCTAAAATTCCATGACTTTTCCCTGATTTTCAGACAAGAAATTTCATGTAAGGTAGGTACTGGGAAAATCTGGAATTCTCAGGGAATTTCATTTTTGCCCTTGAAAATCGTGGATTCTCGTGGAATTTTACTG